TTTTTTTTGGAGACAGAATCTCACTCTGTCCCCTAGGCTGGAGTGCAATGGTGTGATCACGGCTCACTGCAACCTCTGCCTCCTGGGTTCAAGTGATTCTCATGCCTCAGCCTCCTGAGTAGCTGGGGACTACGGGCACATGCCACCACACTAGGCTAATTTTTGTAGTTTTAATAAAGACGGGGTTTCGCCATGTTGACCAGGCTGGTCTCAAACTCTTAACCTCAAGTGATGCGCCTGCCTTGCCCTCCTAAAGTGCTGGGATTACAGGCATGAGCCACCGCACCCCGCCATGCTGTGTTTCTTACAGTATACTACAACTAGTTTTAAAAATCAGCTATATTTTCTGTCTGAATTTTAAGAAATGAACATAGTTCCTTTTTGTTCTTGTGGTGTTTTGAAATTAGTTATTTGTCGTTTCTTTCTTGATTTCAGTGTATTCATCGAGATTTAGCAGCCAGAAATGTTTTGGTAACAGAAAACAATGTGATGAAAATAGCAGACTTTGGACTGGCCAGAGATATCAACAACATAGACTATTACAAAAAGACCACGAATGTAAGTTGATGACAGTAATGCAGTGGGGGGGTGGGGGCATGGGGTGGGGGGTTAGAATGTTCCAAGAAGAAAGACTGTCAATGTTGTGAGCTGGGTGGGACTGATGGGAGCCCAGTCCCCTGCCCCTGACTCCTGTTCTTTTGCCTTACTGTTCACAAACTCTCAATATGCAAATTTAGGCTCTACTTACGTCAATTTTAGTAAACGCAAAACGCTTATGTACTGAAGAATCAGCAGCCTCTAGGATTTTCTTATGGTTCACATCAAGAACTTTCATAGCAAAAACTAGAGCTTGGAAGTTACTGGGTTGATTTTTGCCTATTAATTGATCAAGGAACATCTGTGTGCTATGGAGATCAAACATAGAATCCATGGAGATGGCATTTTATTAATGTGCCCAAATCTGTGCCTCTCACACATGATGTATGGTCCTCATTGGGGTTGATTTCTGTTCTGTTGACCGACCAGTAAAAACCATGAGAATATCAGCTCTTACAAAGGGCACAGCCCTATTGAGCCCACTAAGATAAATTATTTTAAATGTATTTAGTTTTTACATTTTCTTATACATTTGCAGGGGCGACTTCCAGTCAAGTGGATGGCTCCAGAAGCCCTTTTTGATAGAGTTTACACTCATCAGAGTGATGTGTGAGTAACTCTCTTTTCTCTGGCTTCTTCCTGGGATTGAGTTGCAAAAATACCGTACGTGCTTCACCTTTCTTCATTCTTCAGTGGCTGCTGCATTTCACACATTTGTAG